CGCGGGTGGTCAGGGCCCTTCCGTGTCCGTGCTGTCGCTGCCGGTGGTGTTGTCCCAGTCGGCTTCGTGCTGCTGGGGCTTCCTCCCCCTCCGCATTGCCCTCTTTCTGTGAACGGGACGAGACCCTTCCTTTACAGGGCGGCCCTGCCCGCGCACCCCCCGCCCCGGGAGCCCTGGGCCCCGCCCGCAGCCCGCGGGGATCGGTTCGGTTTGCGTGCGGGGCTGCTCGACCCCCCGGCACGGCAACCCCGAGGGCCTAACTCTGCCTGGGTCAAAGTGCCGGCGCGCGGCGTTTCGGGACGAGGGCTCCAGCCACGCGTGCACCGGTCCTGCCTGGGGCACGTTTCGGGCACGGCAGCCCGCCAGCACGCAGCACGGGCCTGGACGGATATTTCCTCCATACCGATAAACCGTTTTTAGTCTGGCGTCCTAAACACGCACGAAGGAAGGACGCTAGAAATTCATGACCGGGAAGCTGCTCTTTTTCACAAGGACCAGGGCAGTGACTGGTACGGCCATCTCCCTCCCTCCCTAGCATCGTGTCCTCTACCGTGCTACGTGCTCAGTGCCATCCGCGGCCAGGAGGGTCCCAAGGCAGGCAGAGGCACGTGGCGTTTTGTGGAGCGGGCGCATCGCCAGTTCCCAGACGTGCTAAAGGGAGCCTGGGACCTCAGGGGCAGCAGGATGCGACCCTGTTGCACGAGCAGCTCCTGTACTGTGAGGATCAGTAAAAGGGGGTGAAGCTGCCTAGGCATTTACGACCTTGTGTCATCCTCGACCTCCTCGGTCAGAGCCGACGCGGGACCTCGAGGACCTGAGCTAAGGAAGGAGGTAGCACGCTCGTCTCCTCCACAGACCAAGCGCGGAGGGGAGACACCACCCACACTGATCAGCAGATCACACAACCGTGGCACAAGTGGTCCTTAAAGCACAGACCAGACCTTCGGTAATGCTCAAAGCTGTCCTTCATCCGCCGCCGCTCCTTCTCCGCCAGCTCCCCGTTGGGTGGGCCGCCGTCCTGCCAAGGAAAGGAAAGCCTGGTCTGGTCAAAGTTCGGGGTCCCGGGGTCCACATCAGACCAGACACCGAATGGAGGGCGAGACACAAGAGAGGTGGGGGAGAGAGCCTGGACACCCGCCTCCCATCTGGCGCCCGTTCGCTGACTTCCTTTCCCACCGTTTCCCAGCAGCAACACGGCTGCTTATTTTCAAACGAGAGAAAATGAACCGAGGCCAAAAGCACAGGGCGGGGGGCGCTCCGTGACGACATCCATCATCACCGCTCCCTGGAGCCTCCCCTGGCTGTGCTGGTAGCTCTTCACACCCACCGGGCCCCTGGGGCGAGTTCCAGCCTGGAGTATTTGCTCCTGAGCCGTCAGTAAATCACCACTGCGTGGCAGCGTCATGCTCAGGCCCAGCGCACACTTGGCACCCTACCGCCTCGCGCTGAAGGCTGTCAGAGCGATACAGCGGATCCTACATCACTCCTCCTCTTCCTCCCCTACTGCCGCGCTGCCCTGTAACAGAGGGGTAGTATCAAGGCAGCTGGGCTCTCGGGGCAGAGGGAACATGGGGGCAGCAGTGACTTCCGCCTGCCGCAGCCCGATTCTTCCCACTTTACACTGACAGCAGCATGCCCTGGGGTACCTATGGCAAAGCTACCCTCTCTAAACAGCATCCTGAGACCATCCGCTACACCCGTCCACGTGCTGGCCAGGCCGACTGAGAATTAACCGGCTAGACCTGCTGGTTGGGGGGGGGGGGGCTGTTTGGTGCCGTAACAGGCTCCTCAAATGGGCATAAAGTCAGGAGCATCAAAAGGTCACAAAAGGGGTTCGTGGGACTGAGTGGTGATCAACGGTTCTTACATTCGGCGCCTGCAACAGCAATGCGCTCTCCAAGTCGCTAAATGGCTGGGCCTGCCCCTCCAGGCAGTCTTCTGCGAGGGGAAGAGAGCAGATGGTGTCACCACTCCCCCCGGGGACGTCAGCAGCGTTCCCAGCCCCCCCTGGACGGGGAGAGAAGAGACTAAAGATGCTCCAAGATCACTGTTAGGCCTGCCTGTTCCCAACCCCACTAGACCGGGAGAGAGACTAGAGATACTCCAAGGTAGCTGTTAGGCCTACCCACTCCTATAACCAAATAAAATCAGTTTAAAGTCAGAGCGATTTTTCTCTGCTTATGCCTGTCTGCATCTACACCGGGGTAACAGCTGTACTGGAACCGTGTCTGCTGGTATAGTTTAATGCTGGTCTAACTCTTCTGTCTGCACTCAAACAGGGAGTTAAACCCAGCTGACCCATGTCCGCACTGGCGGCTGGGCCTCCTAAACCCGAGGGCCAGCACCATGATTCAGCGCTCCCGAGTGGTTTAGCAAGGCTGTCCCCACAAAGCCACGCCACTCAGGGGCAAGCCTTTCCACTCGCAGCCAGCTCCGTGGCCCTGTGACCATGGGCCTTCCTGAATGGAGGAAAAACTGATTTGGGCAGAAGCAGGCAGGCTGGCTCCCACCCCGCCCGCCTGGTTTTCCTCTTCCGCTTCACGCGCTCTGAGAGCGCGTTTCCAGGCCATGGGGCAGCCTGCCAGGCCATCCGCACTGCTGCAGCATTTCCACTCCAGGCACCGCAAAAGCAGAAGTGAGGGGTGAGTGTCAGTGCTGCTGTTCTGCTTTTGTCCAAGCCCGAGTGACGGGAGCCTGCTCTGGGGGGAAAATCCCTGGGGTGCGGCTGAGCTGGCAGGAAGGACAACGGATCTGTCACTGACTGGCAGGGAAAGCAAGAAGCACACCCCATCCTCTGAAAGATGCCGAGTGCCTGCCTCGACCACTGACCTCCCAGGCTCTGGGTGTGCCCCTTCTCTCAGGCAGCCCTACCCATTCTCCCCAGAATTACGTGCATCCCGGCTGCCTCCTACCCAGCAGGGATTGAGATCCTGGAGGAAGGTCCCCTCTCATGCTTTTGCACTCAACAGACCTTGCACATCCTTCCAGCTGCAGCTTGTGCTCTGGGAGCCTTCCCAGAACAGCACCACATGTTTCGGGACATGACAGACCTACCCCTGCCCCGGGCTGGACGTCACCTCCTTTTAGAAACAGGCTGGACAGATGCACAGAGGGAGGGTGAGGGATTCTGCATGCCTGGGGGTCCCCACAGGGACCCGGCTTCCAGGAACCGCTGAGTACCCACCCTCCAAAAAGCAGGCACCTCCCTTGTCTCTCCAGCCAGGTCACCCAGTACCGCTAACAGGTTTCCAACACTCCAGCCCAGATGACTTGTTCGGGCCACAAAGGCACAAAGAAACAGGTGTTCCCCACCTCCAGCCACCTACTTTAAACCCCCAGGCTATGCCCTGCCAGGGCCAGGCTGCCAGGTTCTCTTACTCTTATCAGAGAGCTGCGGGTGCTCCAGGTTTCTGGGCAGAGAAAGCTGGGGAATGAAAAGAAACAGGTGTCTTGTGGAGAACAGCAGTGCTCACTTCCCTGTGCTCTGCTCCCAGAACAAGGACAACCCAGGGCACAGGGCAACACCAGCTTCCTTCTCCTGACCAGTGAGTCAGGTGGCTGGCTGGCGCTGCCTTTCCTCCCTAGCACGGCTGTCCCTCCGACCTGGCATCACCTGATGGATGCAGGCATGAGGCATGAATTAAGTGTGTTATCCCATTAAAGGGCTCCCCAATGCTGTCGCAGTTGCACCTCTGCCATTTGGATGGTGTGTGCCACCCTGGTGAGTCACAGCCCCTCCTGAGCTGCCTCCGGGATAGGGAAAGCAGCCCCTTTGGATCACGGACTGAACACAACGTGCCAGACAGAATTGCTGGCTCTGGCTTGGCGTCAGCTCAAGCAGCTCAGAGAGGCAGGAGCTAGGATTGCTGGGGAAGACTAGGGGGATTCTCCAGAGCTGTGTCCTGCATGGAGCAGAGCCAGGATGTCCCAAGGTCTTTCAGTCGGCAGCTGGACAACAGCAGGTCAGTGACCTACTCACCTCCTGGGAGCTCCAGGAGGAGGTGTCGTCCGGGTCAGAGGTCTGGAAGGTGCAAAGACAAAGGGGTCGGGGATCTGCTCTGCCAGCCCAATGCAAAGTAAGCCAGAGGCAGTGGCAGCCCATGGGAAGAGGGGAGGCCCATGCTCCTCTGCACCCTGCCTGCTCCCCTGCGGGGCGCATGGTGCCGCACTGTGGGACACGGACGTCTGCCCACCCTGCTCTGGGACACCTGACTGATTCGGGCCTGGGTCTCCATGTGGGATTCAGTACCTGGCAGCCAGAGGCTAGCCTGGCTGCGCAAGGGCAACCCCCTTGTGCACAGGCTAGCCCCCAC